TGACGGTGGCTTGGGAGTGGAGTCGGGACGTGCAGCATGCAGCCCCCACGCCCTGACGCCAGCCCTTTTGGCCAGTCTGTACAGCCCCAAAGTGACTCTCTTAGTCCATCAGAAAAAAGCTTGCTAAGGAATGAAGGCAACATGGGCAAACAATCATGTATGGAAGATGCAAAATGGCAAGCAAAAAGTCATTAAAACAAGCAACAAAATTGTATTCTCCAAAGGCTCTTTCATATTACACAATTACAGATGCCACTTTCCCTGCCATTATACCCTCTTAGGCAATCCTGGAGTCTGTACTTTAGAGAGGGGAATTTAGAATTCTCAGCCAGAGATACTGACTGCCTCACAAAACTATAAATCCCAAGATTTCCACAAAGTACAGTCAAGGCATTGAAAGCAGAATGATGGTGCTAGAACTGTATCATATGAAAAGACCCCATATATTTTAGACTACTTCTCCCATCACCCCTAACCAGCATGATCAGTTGTCAGAGATTATGGGGCTTGATCCAGAACACCTAGAAGTCACCATGTGGGGAAGGTATAAAATTAACTATTGAAGAAGATGCAGGTGGCATATCTTGTAGAGCATGAAGGGGAAAGTGCTATCCAGAGGTTCCATGCAACCCTCCCCCCAATGTTTACCCAAATTTCATCCCCCCCCCCATCTCCTGTCAACTTGAGAGAGTGTGGTAGATAGTTCTGCCATATTTTCTGGCTGTTTCAAGCATGTTATTATTGTTATGTAACCCAAATCAACTCCTTATGGTGACCCTTTCCTCGGATTGTTCTCCTCTTTCCCCCACAAAATCTATTCATGTGAAGTTTGCCATTGTTTTCCTTTGAGGCTGACTGTGTGATTTGCCCAAGGTGAGCCAGTGGGCGTCCATCGCTGAGTGGGAATTCAAACTTTTGTCTCCCAGAGTCCTAGCCCACTCAAAACACTATGCCATGTTGGTTCTCATGCATTTTAGGCCTAGAGAAGCCTTTCTTCCCACTTCAGAAAAAGACCTATGCTGGGGTGTTAAATATGCTAGTGGGAATCAAAATTATGATGAGGCTCCTTTTTAAAATTAAAAAAGGGGGGTGAAGGAGGCAGAAAACCAAGCCCTCCAAGGTCCAGTGATGAGAGAATGCAGCCTGAGGGACCCCATGTTGCTCCCAATTCTATTATAAAGGAATTTAAATGTATCTTGCACTTTTCAAAAAGAAACATTTTCCAAGAATTTTTATTTATATGCTTTTTTATTTAAATAAACCCAACATCTTAGAAATGTCAAGGCAAAAAGATCCACTTCTTTTTTTAAACCAATCCCTAGATCCATCAGTTTCTTCGCAGATAATATAGCCAGGAATACTGTGTACTGTTGTTGTTGTTGTTGTTGTTGTGTACCTTCAAGACATTTCCAATTTGTGATTCTAAGGCGTTATGATAAAAAAAACACTGATACGAGAATTTGAGGGATGTAAGAGTATTCAGTGAGTTCCAGATACAAGTTCAATAGACACTACTATTTGCATTCTGGGGAACAGAAAAATTGCACAGCAAAGTCAGCACCTATTTTTTTTTTTACAAAAAACAAAGTTTTCTACAGTGCAATACAGTTGCAAGCAGTCTCATTAGACTCATTTAACATTACTCGCTTGAACAAAAACCAGGGTCTTTAGTCATTTTCTAGCATCTGGATTTGAGTGAGTCTATCATTTTTTTTTTTTTAAAAAAAAAGAAGCCACTGAAAGGCAATTGCAATTCCAGTCAGTGGAATATTTCAATTGCTACTAGAAAACAGGAAGATTTTCAAGAGCCTAAAAACACAGATCTCAGTACTAGCAATTAGGCAAGATTAATGACCACAACTGTGAATTTCAGTGGCAGACACAATCCTACTGCAAGGCAGAAATTAATGTGTTCATGCCAAATGTAAATGCCCAAAGCAAATTAAACACAAATCCATTAATTACTGCACACAGGAGCCATCGCTTCTGAATTACGACTACAGGTGCCTTTTAGTATGAGGTAAGATGTCAAATGTTTTTCATCCGACACCTATCACTTAGTTGGATCTCCAGAGGGTAATTCTATCAGAGTTTTAATTGCTTCATCAAACAATGTTCTCAGCTGACCATACAGCTTCCCTCATTGTTCTTATTCCCTCCCTCAGCAAATACATTATTTGTCACTGTAAGCCCAGCATGAACTAAAGACATCTTGTTCCAAAGGAACATTTTTCTCTATGGGTATGTATGCTTCTAATAACAGGGGTAGGCAAATGTGAATGGCGGGGCAGAGGACTGTATTAACTGCTTGGAGACCTTGAAAGGCTGCACCTGTCCTGCCCCCAAGCCTCTCTAGGAGGTATGGAAGCGTTTTTATCATGCTTTGTATTTCAAAAAAGGCCTCTTCAATGTGATGGAAACTCACTTCATCCCCCCCCCCCCCCCCCCCCCCCCCCCCGTGAACATTTTGGAGCATTTGGGGGAAAGCAATTGTTTGGAAGGGGAATGTGAGGATTCTGGAGCAAAAGAACTCTTGTGAATATTATTTTGCAAAATATATGCATGCATGCTCTCTGGAGGCCAAGACATGCCCCTCTGTTCTAGATGATTGCCAATCCTGTTCTAGAATGTGGAAGATTTCACATGGTAAAATGCTATACCAAAAGTAATAATGTTTGTGAACCTCTCATGACTGCTCCACAAATACAAGCTATCAAGAGTCTTGACAAAGGAAATTGCTTTACATCATGGCAAACTTTGGTCCATCTAGCTTGGCATTGTCCACATTGACTGGCAGCAACGTTCCAAGATTTGAGAAGAATCTTTCCAGCCCTACCTGGAGATGTCAGGGGACTGGATGTGGGACATCCATATGCAAAAAAAAAAAAAAATCCTTTCCTTGCATCTTGCTGATAGATCTTTTCAGGCAAAATGTTTTGGACATAAGTTTTTCTTCATATTCATGCTCCAGATACATCAATCTGGATCCAGCCCTAAAAACAACACTGGGATCCTGCTCTAAAAAGCCCACAGTATAATGAAATGTGAGCCTTGATGAAAAGGAGATGAGAGGAAAAAGTGATTTTATATTTGGGATATACCATTAGGAGTTCTATCTATGTGGCACGCCATTCAAAACTTTTAAAGAATACACCACTCAGATCATTCATCATTTTGCATAAAAAAAATGTTACAAGAATTCTTCCTCAAATTATACTCTGCTAAGTCAGATGCAATCTCGCTCCCTTTTATTAGAATGTCAATACCTTCCTCTGTTGGTCGATGGTCTCTTAAGACACAGTTTTTACTGAGGACTGAAACAAAATGGATGTTTGCTGTCTAAAGCAATTTCTTCTCTATTATTATTTCCTCTCACCAGACCTGCTTTCAGCCACCTGCCTTCTAAAGGAAACCATATATCACCTTCACTGCCTAGGGAGTTGTTTCAGTCAGAGAAAAACAATGCAGTCCTCTGGATTTGGGAATACTGGTATATCACCGCGTAGCTGACTGTCAAGTGACTAGAGCAGTTGCAACTTTCAGACACTGTTATAATAAAGAAAAGCTAACCGTATAGCTCTTAGATTGCACTGTTATGCCCCACTCACTCCACAGGAAGATCTACTGAATTCAGACCTCGCTTCCAAAATGTCCTTCTCAGAATAATGCCTTCTTGTTTTCTTCTGAGAGCTGCCCTGATCATGATCTCTAAGGCTGCAATGCTATCCACAGTTATCTGACCCCAGTGACATTTATTTCAGAGTAGACAAACTCTGGCCCCAGGGACGCTTACTTCAGAGTAGACATAGAGAGGACTGCAGGGCACCAAGCAATCTCATCTCAACTTATACATAAATTTCGCAGGTATGGGGGTCAATTTCAAGCCCCACAGGGCCACTTCAACTAGCCAAAAAATGGCCAACCCTCTCCCCTGGAACTGACCTATGAACTCTTGGTTTTGAAAATGTGTTTGTAGGCAGTGGCAGGGGGCCCCTGCAACCTATTTAAAGGTGAATTGCTGTACCCAGAGGCTTTCAGGGCTGCAATTTCATCCTTTCTGCCAGAAAAGGGGTAATCCAGAGAAGCTGGGGGTGGTGGTAATAAGGAGCTACAGAAACAGGCTTGGGGGCTGCAGGTGGCCCCATGGCTGCCCTATAGCAAGCTAGAGCGGGTGCTGCCCATTGCTGTCCTATAATAACCTCTAGTTTGGTGCTATTCAGGAAGCATATCCAAGAGTAGCTGCATTGGCTATATAGCAAAGTACAATAAACAAAACACAGATACCTTTATGGGGGCAAAATTCACAAAACACATGTCTCAAGAAAGAAGCAATGTGCATTCTGGTATCCATAGGTATCCATGTTTTGTGGATTTGGGATGTTATCCAACTCTGGAGCTGTTGTTATTCTTAATCAGCAGTCTCCATCTTAGAGAGCCAGTGTGGTGTAGTGGCTTGAGCACCAGACAATGACTCTAGAGACCAGGATTCGAGTCCCAGCTAGGCCATGAAGCACCAGACCATGACTCCTCAGCCATGGAAACCCATTGGGTAACCTTCGGCAAATCACATTCTCTCAGCCTCAGAGAGAGGCAAAGGCCTCCAGAGAACAGGATCTGAAACAATGGATGTAAGCTCCAGGAAGAGATTCCACCTCAACATTAGGAGGAACTTCCTGACAGTAAGAGCTCTTCGACAGTGGAACACACTCCCTCAGAGAGTAGTGGCGTCTCCTTCCCTGGAGGTCTTTAAGCAGAGGCTGGATGGCCATCTGTCAGGGATGCTTTGATTGGGAGTTCCTGCATGGCAGGGGGTTGGACTGGATGGCCCTTGTGGCCTCTTCCGACTCTATGATTCTATGATTCAAATATGAACAAATCTTGCCAAGAAAACCCCATGATAGCTTTGCCTTAGGGACACTAAGTCAAAAACGACTCAAAGGCACACAATAACAACCACAATACACAAGCCTGAGAGGACCCTGGATTTTCTCTGGAGTAGAGACTCAGCATGGTGCAGTGGTTTGAATGTTAGACTGGTGACTCTGGAGACCAGGATTCGAGTCCCAGCTAGGCCATGAAACCCCCTGGGTGACCTCAAGCAAGTCACACTCTCTCAGCCTCAAGGGAAGGCTATGGCAAGCCTCATGTGAGCAAATCCTGCCAAGAAAAGCCCGAGACGGGGTCACCATAGGTCGGAAATGACTTGAAGTCACACAACAACTACCACAATAACAATAACCACAACCACAGGTCGGCTGGTCTGGAAAACACCCCAGCAACCCTCCTGCTTGGGACTGAAGTTCCCCAGTGGATCAATCGCAAAATCGGCTGGCCTTCCTCCTCCACCTGTTGCCAGTCAAAGCAGGTGAGAGAGAAAGGCTGAAGAGCTGGTTTGGGCACCTTCCAAGGAGGAAGCAAAGAGTTTACTTTTCTCTGCTGCCACCCTCTCCTGCGTGACCCACTAACAGAAGTAGACTGAAGTCTATGAAAGCTCATGCTGCCAATTTCTTTCTTTCAGTGAGTCTCAAAGGTGCTCCAAGATCTCTCTACATACTGATCCTACAGAGTAACAGGGCTAGATCTTTGAAATAATAATAATAATAATAATAATAATAATAATAATAATAATAATAATAATAATATGCGTCTGAGGAAGTAGACTGAAGACTACGAAAGCTCATGCTGCCAATTTCTTTTTTTCAGCTAGTCTCAAAGGTGCTACAAGATTTCTTTACATACTAACACAAAACAGGTTGTTGCGACAGGGAAAGACCCGGCAGAGAAAGAGGCATAGAAAGGGGGAAAGGAAGGAGGGAGAGAAGGAAGGAAGGAAGGAAGGAAGGAAGGAAGGAAGGAAGGAAGGAAGGAAGGAAGGAATGGAGGATGGAGGAGTGAACCAGTCGGCTCCAACCAGCACCAAAGTTCCTGGAGATGAGCCACGGAAGACTCCCGGGTTGCCTTCTCTGGGTTGCCTTCATCCACACGTCAGAAATAATCCGGTTTGACACCACTCTAACTGCCATGGTTCAAGACTAAGGGACTCTAGTTTTGTGTAGTTTTGTGAGCTATTTAGCTTTCTCTGTCAGAGAGCTCGGGTGCCACAACAAACCACAAATCCCAGGATTCCAGAGGATGGAGCCAGGACAGTTAAAGCGGTGTCAGACCGTATTAATTCTACACTGAGGCGGGGGGGGGGGGACTGCGCACCTATTTGTAAAAAAAAAAAAGAGGAGATTACCCAAGCAATCTCACTCCCACACCATGCCATGACAGCACTATTATTCCACTTTAACTGCTCTAGCGGTCTCCTGGGGAGTCCTGGAGTCTGAAGTCCGGTGAACCCTAAGAGCTCTGTCAACTGCAAATCCCAGGGCTCCACAGCAGCCAAAGTGAGTTTAAAATGGCACAGTGGTCCAAAACACACTGCAGAAATAATCCAGCTCGGGACCACTTTAACTGCCTTGGCTCCGAATTCAGGGAAGTGTAGTTT